TCCTGCCCAGATGTAACACCCTACACTTGCTATATTTTATAATATTGTTATATTGTCACCATCTCACACCCGCTGGTGATGATGCTGGGGCTGTCATGGAAAAGCCTCTTCAGGTAGCTGAGCACATGTCAGTGAAAAGAGTTTCTCTGCCAGCATGGCCTTACCCAAACAACTTCCAGAGAGCCAAGGAAAGGCCTGCAGAGCCATGTCCGTGCTGGGTGCTGCTGGGGAGAACAAAGGCCTGTTTTCACCCTCCCTGCTTATGCACCAACATTGATAAAGTCTGTGGAGTAATTCTGGCCCTCCAAACACTTCTGCTTTCCTTTCCTACACGTGGGTTAGGCACAGACTATTGCCTTCAGCTGTACACTTTAGCTTTTCACTGGGAAGCAGTAAAGCACGCATGCAGCGTGAGCATCCAGTGCTTGCAGGCAGGAAACCCGTGAAAGCAACAGCTACCTACAGTTTCTCTTGCCAGTACAGCACCTTTAACGTCACAACTGACATCACCAAAGTGGTAAAACGGCATCCATGATACTGTTTCTTTCAGATATTCACCAATTCTGAGCCCCCTCCACCACCATGTACCCAGTACCAAGCAGGACTAGGCACTAGCCCAGTTAAAGGAGACATATTCTGCCTGAACCAGGCACGTGCTTTGGGGAGGGGTACGTCCATCTGTCATTGAAACCCACCCTGCCCCTTTCACCAAAGTTCATGCCAAAGGCAAATTACAGAGACGAGCAATACTGTTGCTCATTTGAAAACCAAGTCTGATCTGAACAGACTCATTGGCATGCTGAAGGGAATACCAGTTCATCCCAGTGTAGTTCCACTTCTAATCAATTACATGACAGTACAGAGCTTCAGTTAAACAAGCACAGACTTATTAAGAGATTTTGCTGCTATAAGCATTATTTGGTGGAGGCAGGTGGGGAAAGACTGGGGAGGGTAAAGATAAAAGCACTTTAAAAGCATTTACTTTTCATTTCATACCTTTAATTAGCTGGATAACTCCAGGGACTATAATTATCAGAATTGCTACAAGCTTGCAAAAGGTAAGGAAAATCTGAATGCGGGCACTCCAGCTGACACTCGTGCTATTCAGGACCATCACCAGTGCTGCAAGGAGAGAAAGAAAAGTCAGAAAAAAAACACTCGTGCCACTGAAATCGCCACAGAACTGTGCCAGCAGAGATGCCACATGCACAATAGATGCTGATGCATTAAAGGACATACACCCCGATAACCTTCTGCAGCTGCTGCCCTCCCACTTCTCACGTCCCCCTTCCAGACGTCGTACAAAACTTGAGCTGAGCCCCTCTGTCTGACCCACCCCACGGTCCATCCATCTCTCCGTTCTCTGCCTGGCTCCTTCTGCACCAAATTATACCTTTGTTTACCCAGAATTGTTAACTGTTGGTAGGCAATGGGCTGGCAGGACCCTGCCTGGGATGAAAGAAATTAATTGCCTAATGCTTGTCTCTCCAGACTTCTGTAACAGTGCCGGTTTGAGCAGAGAATTGCATTTTGATAAAACAATAACAATCAATAATCATATTAAACTTTTTCACCACCTTTTAGGCCCCACATAAATTTGTCACTCGTTACCTTATTCCCCCCCTGCTTCTCTTTTCCACTGTTTCTCCTCTCTTATTGTCATACCACCAGAGATGCAGGAGGTCTAGGGTACAAGTAACGTGCCTGTACTGGTTGGGAACTGGTGAAGAAACAGAGAACTTTTACTTCTTGAAAATAAAGCCCAGGTCTGCACCTCACCAACACAGAGAGACACAAGTGAGAAGGGCTTTTATGTCCTGCCTGCTCAGCTCACATCTCTTTCTGGGTCGGGAAGGGCATCTTCTGGTCTTTACTACAGCACTGACTGATGGAGGACAGTAGGTCTTATCATTTGAGTGCCAGTTATTCTAGTTTATTTTAAAAATTATCTTGGTAAAATAGAATAAATAAAGGAGTTTAGACATTAAAAAAAAAAAAAAAAGAAAAGAAAAAATTACCCAAAGAATGCAAAATATGAGTAATTTCACTAGATAAAAAGTCCCTTTCCCCCTCTGCTGCATGGAAATAGTCGAACAAGCATGCTCACTCATCATCTTTTTCTTGCCATCATAGGGAGCTAATGAATTAGCTCCTCATCACAGTCCTCCCATACTTCAAGTTCCCTCAAAAGCACCAGTTTTCTGTATAATGAGCCATATTCACACATCTTGGGATGCATGAAAACACAGGTTGCTATCTCCCGCCAGAGTCTGGGAGCTAGTTTGTACGAGCTAGCTTTGTAAATCTGGCATGGTACAAGCTTTCTGGCAGCAAAACCCACTGATTTATCCCAAGACTTTTATACTGATTCTGTTCACCAGCAAGGCCAAAAAATATATCATAAAAAAATATTCTCAGTCTAAAGCAAAAGTAGTTTTAGTTTAATGGAAAAGGGAGAAAATTCAAAGTAATATGGATTCCAATATATTTTTTAGATATTTTCAATAAAACAATTTTTTTCAAATAAAAGTATTTTCTGGAATTTTTGTTTGGGAAAGAGAGGGCCACCACTCCGAAATGAACAATTTACTAAAGTCAACATAAACTCACAAGATCATTTACTGTGAATTTTTCACCGAAAAAGATCTTAAAGGTCAAAATGTTTTTCCAGTTCTGTATTTCACCATATTTCAGAACTGAGGTATTCTTTTCTGAGTTACAAAGAAATCATTTGGACTTCTGCAAAGTATCACTTGAGATCCAAATACTTATTTTTTGCTTTATTACATCTGTGTATACTTATACTTGGCAAGAAACAGAAAATCCCAGGGGCCTGATTCATTACTCTATTGTCCCAGCACTACCCTGATGTATCTTCGCCTATTTAAATGTTGAAAGATCCCTCTAGGTTGCTGCTGAATATTAGCACTGATTGAGGCTCCTCCTCTTTTCCTAGGGCTTGATTACCAGGAAGTTTATCAACTGTCATTTAAGCAAATTATATTTAATTTCAATATTTGCTTGACCAACAGTGTTTAAGTTATAAAGAAAGTCAAGTGCCCTAAACAAGCACTGGCTTATTTCAAATTTCCTAAAAAGTTCAGAATATCATACTTTCCCAGAAGACAATGCCCAGACAGGAACCAGGCCACAAGAACAAGTCAAGGAAGAGTTTTATGTGTAAGAAAGTATCTGCAATTTGACATCCAGCCTATTCAGAGTTCAAGCTGACTGCAGCAATTGGTCTGTTACGTTACACAGGTCAGAATAGGTAACATGAGTGTCATCACCCTGCAGAGAGTCCTCCTCGAGGATTTCTAATGCAATGGTTTCACCTTCTTGATACACTATGACAATGTCACTGGATAGCAAACTAGTACAAACACTAATGTCAATTTACATGGAAACTCTTAGTCTTCCTTGCTGGCCAGCCACACACAAATCACAAGCCCCAAATCTGTATAAGAGTTACACTGACTTGAAAGACAAAAAGTGCAGGCTGCTACTTTCATGAAGACAACCTACTTGCAAGCAGGCTATGTTAAAACCTTCTCCATCCCCAGCTGTGAGTTCAAGCCAACCAAATGTTTCATCTGAGGCTTTCTAAGCAAATAGCAAGAGCAACATGGACACTGCAAGGACCTTCATTTAACAGGGAAGCTGAAGCGATGCTACACCTGCAGTCAGTCCAGTGCATGTGCCATTAGTTTTGGTGGTCTTCTATAAGAGTAAGTCCCTTGCAAATTTAGACAGTGGCACAAATAAAGTAGTTCAAGTTGCAGGGCTGAGACTCAAGTTCTTAGAAGATTTAAGAACAATCTGGTAGTTTTGGGAAATCCTTTTTTTTTTTTAATAGGCTACAAGAATTTAGTCTTTTTGTGAAATTCAGTCTTCACAGTTCTATGTGCATAGCAGACATACAGGGATGTGGGACTTACACTCCTGTCACTTATCAGCACCAAACTGGTTGTGCTAGCAACTGGATAGTGAAAGGCAACAAAGAAGAGTCAGGAAGAAAGCTGCTAAAGAGCAGGAGAAGAGTATCCTATGCCAGCATTCAAGAAGGAAATTGTATCTTGGGACTATGGTCATTGTTCAACATCTCTCTTCTATGAATAGGGCCTTATGGAGACATTTCAAGAAACTGATTGAAGACACTTTGATACAGGATCACAGCAAAGATCAGAAGGAAGCAGCAACTCCCCAGAAAAAAAGGACAGTAAAAGGAGGACTCATGTCTCACTTTGCTAACTAAAAGTCAGGCATCTAGCTTGGCTGCAACCTCAATGAAGAGACAGTTACCTTTGGAGGATGAATAACAACACCCCTTTCGGATGTCTGTCTCCGATGAGATGACTCGCCTTCAGGAAACAACTCTTTCTCCACTAACTCTATGGGGAGCACAGATAATTACCTTAAACTAAACACCTAACTGAAGGTGAGAGGAACCCTAACTGAGGGGAGAATGGAGAGAGAACAAAATGGGGTTCATGAACAATCAAACACAATAGTAACAATGATAATATTGCTTTTCACAATCTCTTTCCTCCACACAGCCACAGCTATAGATGGATAACGAAATCTAACGGGAGAAGCAGCAGTAAGCATTACATCCTGGCCTACTTTTCAAGAACATATGTACCATTGCCTCCATGGGAAACCAAGGAAACTGCCCTCCCCTAACTTGTTAGGTTTTTAGGGTCAAGGCATTCACACAAAGGAAAAATACCCTCAATTTGCAGATCCTAATGGGTCAATTAAAACAAAGACATAGGAGGCACAAAAGCACCCATCATAGCAGCTTTTGCTATCCCTGCAAGCCAACAGACATCTTAATTTATACTGCTTGTCTGAAAACAGTCAGTGGTAGAGAGCCATGTCTGTAACATCTGCCATGATGGGAGGAAAAAAAAAAAAGCAAATAACTAAACTAACTATAGACACATGTACACACCAAATTTATGACAATAAAGCTTTGGTCTGGAGTATTTGCCAGTGAGCACTAATAGATCTGTACAGCTGACCTTGATTTGCAAGCATAATATTGCATCTAACGGTCATAGTTTGGGGTATTTGAGGTTTTTTGGCCAACCTCCAAAACAGGCGGCAATTATACATTATTGTGGTATAAAATGCCCAAAATATGCATGAAGGAGTGTAAAAACTTTAAAAAACATATTCAAGTTGGTAATCTGTTTTCAGTCTCACAGTTTTTAATAGCTGAAAGCTGTTTATCTGCTTTCTGATACAGAGGCCAAGTGAAAAGATTAGAACAGGCTCGGTTAAGATTGCATATCTATTCAGGTTACATTTTATTAGTACAGTTCAACACCTTTGCACAGTATAACTTAACCCTTCCTGTTAACAATATATTTAGATTTACCATTAGGAGGAGAATTTAAAGATACCAATAAAGCAATATATTAATATAGGGGGATTTTGCACTATCACCATGCTTTGCTGTGGCGATAGGCATGGGGATAGGATATTTCTTCATTGGAAGAAACAGTAAATATGGAGGAGTATACCAGCTTTCACTTAAAGAGAAAAATGAGTTTTTAACTATTTCTCCTAAAAGGACCATCTTCAGCATTAGAACAAAGGCGGAGGGCATCCCTTCTGCTTTGTGTCCTGGGGCTGCTGTGTCCAATTCAAGCAAAGTTGGGCATTTAAAAGGTCTTGTCTCCTGCTTGCATTTTCTTCAGCTGCCCTTCCCTTTGTTGGGACGTATCCAGGTTCTCTCTCCTCTACCTGGCCACTTATTTTCATTAAAATTGTAGTAATTAGATATCTTTAAGATGTCTGCTCTTCTCTCAGGTACAGTTAAATTGACTGAGATTAGAAAAAGTTTATGTTAGACTGACTGACTCATACACATATCCACTATTTGCCTAGGTTTTTCTCCTCACAGGGATTTGCTTGAGAAATACCAAGTGAATTAAAGTGATTTCTAAGTTTGAAAAGGTAGCCTTTACTTCAGAGGTTCAGAAAGTTGAGATATCTGAAGAGAACCTCCACACAACCATCCTTTTCTCCACCAAGCCATTGAAATGTCTGGACTTTTTGGCTATTTTTATTTAAAAAAATAATAAAAAAATGGAAAGCACCATATTGTGGAACAGAAAATTTGCTTCTACAAATTGTTCAAAATTGCTCAGAATAGGTGTGATTTCTAGGGGAATTTTGTGCCTAGTGCATTTTTTTTTCCTATAAATAATAAACCACAAATGTTTTTTTTTTTTTTAAAGGCCACCATCTCCAGTAGTTCCATTTTAGCTCTCATCTGTTCTACATCACCTCTGCAGCACCATCATTCTTTTTTCACCAGAGGCACTGAGGTGGAACGGTGGGGAGCAGAATGTGCTGTAGAAACTCTATGAGAAGTAGTTGTTCTGATAGAGGAGCAACAGTATTTTCCACTCCCCATCATAATCCTAGTTGCATCCATCTCAGGCAAGCTTTTAATAATAGGCTTAAATTGCAGAAAAGAATGTTTAGGTGGGAAAAAAAAAAAATTAGAAAAGCTGTGTTGCAACACGGATAGAAAAAAAACAGGCTATAGTATTAGGTGAAGCTTTAGAAACTCCCTCACTTGAGGTTTTAAGACCAGTTTAGACAAACATGTGTCAGAAATTGTTTAGATTGTGTTTGGGGGCAGGGGATCACCTGAAGATTTTTCAAAATCTCTTCCTGCCCTTTCTGGTATGATCAGAAATAACAAGGTATAATTACAGAACAAAGCCTCACCCAAGGACAGAGTTTGATGGTGCTTCCCACTACCTTTCCCCCCCATGCAATAAAGACAGATCTGCAGTGAGAACTCTGTCATTAGGCACAGGAGGGAGAAGTGACCAGGAGCAGATAAGGAGACAAAAAGGTACACCAGTTCACTTTCTGATTAACTTAATATTTTCAGCGGAAGCAAACACTGTGTTTGGCACCATTAAATTGGATCATAAGATCTTCAGGGCTCTAGTGTGTCTGTTCTGCTCAACACCTTAATCTTACCTATCACTCTACCTACAAGCACCATATAAAACACTCATAACAATTACCACCACAACAGCTAATTCTTACCATACGAGAACAACAGTCATGCACACTGGGATCCCTGAGCTCAAGTGTAGCATGTAATCAAGAACTACTGCACCTGAAAGTCCGCTGAAGAGCATACTGAAAAGAATAAAGATAAAGCCTCAGGCTGACATGTCACTGTTTTCCTCAGCACTGTCCCATCCACCGTTACAAACTTTCTACAAGAATCCCTTATTTTGGTGAAATGACAGCTCATTCTACCTGCATTGCACAGACCCACGGTCACCATAGAAGCAGTTTGCTGTGAACCTTTCTTTCCCTTTAGGCTGTAATTACTTCAGTGTAACTCCACCTTCCCTGCAATGCTACTTCTTTGTTTAATTACTCTGTGAAGTCTTGGCTTACCACACAGATCTTCCCTTAAATTAAAAGCAATAAAAATCTATTTCAAATTGTTCACTTATTGTTCTTGAATCACGTGCATTTAACAAAATGCTTTGATGGAGTCCTCACTTAACATTTCTTCTGTCTCAGTGACCTTGAAGTTACTGAACATCTGTTTCACCCTTATCTTGCACTGAAATATTTTAGACAGATGTAGCTATAAAAAAAGTCATTGACCTCAAAATTCAAGTCCTTAATTCAATTATTCCTATGAAACCTACAGTTTGTGCATAATTAAGTTAGAAAGGGATGCGGTCACATACTGATTTTTTTAACACTCCTGGCAGAAGGGAACTCTTATCAAGAGAGCTCCTACAAAAAGCAACAGTAACCTGGAGACTGGAAAATTCCATGTCAATTGAACTCCCTACCCCAAAGAAAGAAAAAAGTCAACTGAACCTATTATTGTGCAAAACTGAAAGGGTGTCCTGTGTGCCTTTGATCATTTTGCATGTCTTAATTCCTTTTCCTAGTCCTTTTGTTTCTGACGTGCACTGAACAAATTGAAAGGAACAATCTGTTACTAGTTACTCAGGTCTACTCTGCACTCTCCTCCCAGCGTAGCTGAATGCGAATGTGCATACACATGTGCAAGGAGCATCATCACCAGTGACCAGGCAGAACTGGAGCCTAGTGCTACAGGCACACGGCTCCAGAGTCCCATTCCCATCACCATTTGTGTCTTCCCCCTCACACAGCCTCCCACAGCAGCCCAGGTACACTGTAAAGCTCCTGGTCTCAGGGTAGCCTCCCTCCTTCATCTGGCAATTATTGGTTCTTTGTAGCCCTAAACGGTCCCTTTTACACTAATTGCAAAGTCAGCAAGAATAGGACAGGCTGTTGGTAACGGGCACACACTTTCAACAAGCTGTACACCCTGCTCCCAAAGTCATCCGTTGGGTTCCTGCTTCCTGAACTGCAAATGCCTCAATAAGTTTTATTGCTATGACAGAAAGAGCTGGACTCGGGAAGATGATCTCATGTTGCCTGCGCTCCGCTCAAGAGAACTACATTTCTTTGCGGCATCATACTTGGCACTCGATTGCCTCCTAAAACAGAAGTCGAGCAAAGCACTTAAAATCAGGTAATCATTCTTCCATATCTCTGGCACTTGCTCACCATCTCTTAGGGACTGAAATTGCTTCCACAAAAGTAATGAGAGTTCTGCCATTAATTCAAGTGGCAACAGAATCAGCCTTGGCAATAGATTTGTCCCTGCCATTAATAAAGTCTGCTATTCTTTTTACTACTGCATATGTTCACAACCACACATACCAGGCAAAAAGTTGTACTGATACCCTTGGCATTGGATACACAGTCATTTTGTAATCATTCACATCAAATGACTACTTGTTCAGTGTTCGATTACTTTTTTTTTTTAAATTTACGTCATCTTTACCCTTCCCTGAAACCTAAAATTGGATACTTACTGATGCCAACAGCTGTAATAAGTTTAATTGCAAGTTCTGGGATTTCACACTGCATAAAAAAAGGTTCCAAAATGTAACGTCCAAATGCCAACGATATCACTGCTGTGGCAGCAGGGCTAGAGTAAAAACAACAACAACAAGAGCAAAATTACAAAATTAATCTGCAATAGTACATAGATAATATTCTTATGAGATCATGCTGTAACTTTACTATCACAGAACTGTGCATCGTACTTAATTTTGGTGCCTGCTCATAACTATGCTGCCATGTACCACGATTTCTGAATGCAGCAGGAAACCACAAACAGTTTAACTTTGCTCAGTGGCTCTGATCTTGACAGGAACATCTCTTACCAGGATAGCTCTCACAACTTCCATGTTGTGAAGTGGCTGTAAATAAAAAGGAAAGGTATCAACCAAAATTTTCATTCACTCTCTTGAAGTGAACTTGGTCAGAATTAGATTACATGGGTAAAACCCTGAGTAAAAGTCATCAAGGACTGAATTTTAGTGGCCAGGTATATCTCACCCCTCAGAGAGACAAGTTAATTTACTTCAACTAAGCTGAGAATTCTGCTCTACTAAGTATCCAAAACCTACCCAAGTCTGTCATTAAAATCTGACACAGCACAAAAAATGAATAAAAATGGGATTTCCAAAAATGCAAACAGATCTTGTTCATTTTATTGACTAACTTCATAGCACTGCAAGTAAGAGCAAAAATCCTCCAAGTACAGAAGCACCTACCAGGGAACAGAGAAATGTGAAGAAGGGCAAGCGTGCAGTTTTTGCATCTACCAATTTGAAATACTCATAATACTCATAGAGCCTTTCTCTTTGAGACAAGCTAAATGTTTGCCAGAAGTCTTAGCACTGACACATATTAACAGCAAATTACCCTGTGCCTCGGATCAGACACTGTTTGCATATTACAGTTCCAGTGATCTGTTCATATTTGGTTTGCGAGGACACTTTCACCCTGCATAGGATGGCTGGTGGCATCTGTGCTTCATCACACGCTCACACACAATAAGGACAAAAGAGCGTATGATTCCGCCTCAAAGGATTTTTGAATTAAACAATAGTCCATGCAAATTTCTTGTAGAAAAAATCTACAGCATTTAATAAAATAATGCCTCACCTTACAGAATTTCAATAAAAATGCAGTTGCTCAAAATGCTGTGGAGGAGTGTAAAAATTTTGCAGAGAAGTTAGTATTCTCCAACAAATGAAACAAAGCCCACTTTCTTAGTGTTATGACTCAACCAAAATGTCACACACTGCATTGGACCAAACTGCAGAGCAGCAAAGAACAGAAGTATCTTCCTCAGAAAGTTTCTGCATGGACAAGTGAAGGCTGCTGCTTGTGAGTCACCCACACACATGGACTGTTCTTCACAACGGCCTTTGCAACTTTTGTCTTCACTCAGGAACCAAATGTTCTCTGTGCTGGATTTACACAGACATTTACTGACTTTACTTCAGTGCAATAATTCTAATTTACATAAGATTACCAGGCTTCCGGCTTTCAAACACTGCAGCCTGCCAAAAGCAGTTTGAAGTGTCCGAGTTCAGATGAAAAATCAGATCTTTGGAACTCTCCCAGACTTTTTTTCCTCATTCCTGCCTCCTTTTTCCAGAACTTGGGTTTTTCCCTTTCATTTTAAGAAAGGCCTTTTTAAAGAGGCAGCCACTGCTATCTACACCGCTATGTTTTTAAAAACATAGCTCTTGAATTATACCTCTAATAAATAAGCTATGTCTCTCTTATTCCCACGTTTGGGAGATGTTGGTGGCAGTGAAGTCAATCAATGGAGGTGGAAGTTGAAGGAACGGGCAATTGATTGCAATCAATTCCTTTTGACTGCAATCCTAAAGACAGATTGGCAACCGCCTAACAGCTGGGTGATCAAAAGCAGAGAGAAAGAGCATTACCAGCTTTCACTGAAGGGCAAGGAGCACAAAAAGCCAGTGGGAAAGGAGCAGGTATAGTGTCCCAGCACATACCACAGGGGAGTGAGTCATTTGGCAGCGTGCTCTCACCCAACCTGTGTTTAACAACCACCACGGGAGTACTACAGACAATGCACAGTCGTCTTCACTTGTTTGAGAAGTTTTTATTTATTTTTTTTAAGAGATATGTAATATACCCACAACATGACTTCTGGGGAGAAAAAAAGTTCCTACTTATACTGGATGAGGAGCAGAGCAGCATAAGGCACATCTAAACAGCAGGCGATGCTGGCAGAGTTTAATCAGTATGTGGGCAGAGTTTAAGTGTGTTCTAGACTGTAAAACAGTGACTGAAAAGATACAGGAGAGCAGGAAAAGTTTATTTTGGTTGCAGCTGCTCCACCAGCCCGTGGGTGTGATAATCCTTCCACCTTTCAGAGGAAAAAACAGTTTAGCTGAGAAGTGTGTGTGTGTGCAACTTCAGCTACTGAAAAAAAACCTAGACACTTTTTACATCTCAATTTCTTTGATAGCAGCAGCCAATTAGTTTACCGATGCAGGAGTCAGATATAAAAACTCTATACAGAGTTTCGGCAGTGCTGCTCTGATCATCGCAAGTCGTAACAAGTATACCTCCCTCACTGCCTCTCAGATTTGATCATTAAAGAATCCACTGATGTTCTTTCCCATGCAAGATGATTATTTTCTGGGTGTGGAGCAGATCATGACGACTAAGAGTGTTTTCATGACACTCCTGGGACACTGTCATATGTAAAACAATAATTTTGGGAGAGGAGGGATTTACAAAGCCTGGTTTCTTGTGGGTATTTGTGCCTAGGTTAATAAGGTCCCTCTGCCTAGTAAGGAGCAGGTTAAGAGGCGATGGGATTTCTAACGCTACTCGCTCCTCTTGATTCTATGATGTGCAATGACATAGCTACATTCCCAACACTGTGCTTCTCACAGTGGAAACACAGGTCTGTTTCTTCTGTCTGGTTTTCCTTTTGGCAAAAAGTTAGTATGGTTAAGACATCTGCTCTTTCATCACATTTGATGGAAATTATGCAGTTAATTCAAAGGCTATGTATGGGTGGGGAGGATGTAAGGGACCATCTGACATAGAGAATTATTTCCTCCGGAAACAAGATAAGGATTTATGCATTCATAATGACTCAGCACCGTCAGTGCTTTTAAACTCGACAGTCTATGCTAGAACTTGTCAATATTATGTAAACACAGTTGTAATTTGAAATGAAGCCTGGCCTTTTGTGACTAACTTGCTGATTGTGGAAGAGAGGGGAAAGGAGTGTTAACTAGCCTGAGGCAGGAATGAAGCATTCCCAAAGTCATTTTGCGTAAGTGAGTTGCCCTGTTCTACATGTAACAAGCTCTTCAAGCTCAGCGATGTTGTAAAAAAAAATTTAAAAAATATATATACATATTTAAAGGGCCACATTTCAGTTTGATACAAAGATCCATTTATATTATGCAAACTTATTTGATATGATTCAATGATTCAGCATCTTGATATTATAATTCACCTATACAACGTCACAGGCTGCATGAGTATGCACCAAAACAATAATTTGGACATTTTAGATATTTAAGAACATAATGTTGCTTTATTTGACCAGTTAGTGTTTTTCATAGTAATCAAGAGTTTAAGTTCTCCAAAACCCCATTAAAAAAAAGGAGGGGGAGTGGGGACAGACACATGAATTGACATATAAAGAATACATGGTGCCCCTAAATCTGAAAACTAATGGCCAATAGCTTCACCAGGAGTTATTCCTGTATCCACAGACAACAACAGCTGCTCCAAAAGCTAGTACTAAGACTGAGAAAAACATAAAGGTGACCTCCTTCTTCCACTATTCTGTACATAGATATGGGTATGAGCATTACTAGTGACATTGATGGATACAGTAAGCTTAGCAAAATTAAAGCAAGTAGTTGAATTTGTATGGCAAGCAGTTTTCTCAGAATCGTTTTTTTTTCCCCCCGTACATGCACATATGTCTTCTTGAATGTTCCAGTTCTGATGAGGAAAATAGCACTATTAAATTCTCTGAAGCAATCGTGCTGAAAGATCACAGCTCATTGATTGAGATGCATTTGGTTTGTTTTGCCCATCATCCACTGAAGATATTTCTTTATGACTGAAAAATGTATTGCTACCAGAAAAGAAACACAGAAAAGCCACGATACACTTACCGAATGATGAGTAATTCAACCCACACTCTCACAAAAGCAGGTAACGGGCCAAAGGCCTCCAAGATATAGGTGTAGTGACCACCAGATTTCTTAATGCATGTTCCTAGTTCAGCATAGCAGAGGGCACCTGTGAGAATTAAACAGTGTTATCAGGAGAGTTATATAAAAAAGAAAAACCCTTTCAAAACATTTATAAGCTAAACAATGGAGCTGCCATGGTAACATGGCTACTTTTTAATATATTTTAATCATTATTTTCAAGCAATTTTCTAAGTTTTTATTCATTCAACTAGACCAGCAGTTAACCAAACTGTACATACATCCAGTTCCATTTACACATAAACCACTGAACAAACTATTTGCTATCAACACATTTCATTACTCATCCATATCTTATGAAGAGGGACAACAAAGCGTTGTGTCACATCAGCTACCCCAGATCCTCAGCAGCCTGTCTGCGCTGCCAAATTAAAGCTTTCCGACACTTTTGCCTGTTATCAAATGGTGATCAGCTCCTTTCAGCCTCAGAGATGGCTGGCTCAGCCTCTGAAGAAAAGCCTGAAGACTGTATTCCCCCTCATCAACTGCGGGTTAAGAAATCAACTGCCCAAACTATGGAATCAGGAATTGCAGATTAAGAATTTTCCTCAATAGTACTCCCAACATCTTACATACAAAATCCAGGGGATGGTTTAGCCCTGGCTTTTCAACACCGGTGCAGTGTTGTTGTGTACTCCTAATGTGATGAAATTGCAGTTCATTTCTGCATTGCCCTAAATACAGACAACTTCACATTTTCATAGGAGGAGGCTCGTTTCATCCTTTGGTGCATTTACACACTGGCTAAAGACCCAAATCATCATCACATTGCTGTACTAGGGAGGCCGAACTCATGCAGAAGTGGTTCAGGCCTCCTTAGAGTGAATGTTAGTGTCATTTCCAGCACGTGAAGCTCTCAGGAAGCTCTCCAAGGCTGCCAGTGGTCTTTGCCATTATGGAGCAGGCAACAGCACGGTGCAAATATGAGGACCTGCATAAAGCTTCATCACCCATGCAACATCTACTACCGTTGTTTAATGAACCATCACTCCGTCTCAAAGCCAGTGGATTCTCAGCTGCAGAGGTGGACAGCATCAGTAGAGAGGAGGTGTACCATGTCCTATAAATGCAGGCAGCCCTTTTAGGAGAGTCTGAGATGTCAGAGGAAAACAGTAACAAAGTTTGTAAACACTGCATCACATAGAGTTAAGATCAGTGACATAGATGAACTCATTTCGGCGTTGTTCCCTGCATGCTTTTGTGCTGTGACACAGTGGAAACTAGTTGTCAAAACCACATAACATGTACAAGCCCATTAAAGCTGTACCACATTATGACAAATTCCACCCTTATTCATTTGCTTTGTTTGAGCCTTTTCAAAACTGTGGCAGGTTTTATCTGCTATTCTTCAGCTTACCTGAAAATGTATTTGAGTGAATTTTTACAGCTACATTAAAAAAAAAAAAAAAAAAAAAAAAAAAGAAGCTATTGATGGGTTTTCATTTGGCAGCCTCTTCTGTTGAGGTTCAGGATGAAATGAAATCATGTTTCAATACATGTTATACACACAGCCGCAGCAGGACCTTAAGTGATCTTTGCATGTGATTTTACTATAATTAAGTCATGCAGGGAATTGACACCCCTGGCATAAAAAATATGAAAAAAATAATTCTAATGGGTCCATTCAAAGAAAGAGATAATATCTTTCGCTCGGCTAAATTACACAGTTCTTCACATCTTGAGATCTGGAAAGTGACCTAGAAAATCAGTCTGATAAAAGAGATTTCTTTTTTTTTTATACCGACTTTACTTCCCAGCCAGAAAATTACTACTATTAAAGTTAAAGCCAAAAATGCAATGCTTAAATAAGTTCTGTTTTGACTAAATCTAAAGACCGAGGTCTTCTGTGAGGGTTCTAAATTGTATTTGAGGTCTTTCTTTACAGGGGAATTTTGGTTACAGGCAGGACTCCCACATTTGTACAACAGATTATGTTGCACATTGTACCAATACGTTTAACATTTGACCAAAACGGGTCCTCACTTGCTTGCACTGTCTGTTTGGCTTGGGTGGGCTTAGTCTGTCAACAGTCCATGTTTCTTTTAAACTCAAAGCCAATTTACACAAGGTGGCATTTGCATATTCCACCTATTAAGCAGACACGTGTTAATCTATGTTTGTCCTCTCTACCTCATGCCAGAAAACAAGTCATTTCTGTTTTAAATAAAGCCAATATTCATGTTAGTTCTTTAACTTCTTAGAGATTAACTCATTAAGTAGGTCAATGGACCCTCTGTCCCACAGAGGCCAGGGTGGGATTTTCCACTCTGAATGGGGGCTTTGTGTACACAACAAATAAACTGACATTCTTCAGAGTTTAATATTTTTCAAAAATACACAAAAATAGTAAAAACTGTTATGACAAGCAGGCAAGCAATAAAACATGCATTACAAATTTGTTTCCATTACACTGTATTTTGCAGCGCAATCTTTCAAAGCAACATCGTGAGCGGGGAATGAAGTGAAGAGCAGTAACACAAGACTGGGGAGAGGGGTTATTAGTGTTATTATTTTGCTCCCTTTCATGCCAATACAGCTTACATCCATTGGGAATTATTCCTCTCAGACCCTGCTCTAGCCTCAAGGGAACTAAGTCGAGCTGTCTAAACATTTCACCAGTGTTCGAGCGGAGTGACTCGCATCCCCAGCTGCCGAGGGCCTTACAAGCAAGCTGTAAACTACCTCTTATAGAAAGAAAATGTTCTGTATAATGTTCTTCTACAGCCAGAAGAAAAACATTATACATACAGCACGTTGTCTGGCATAAAATAGACATTTACTTTTCCTGTTCCTTTAGGGACCCATAAGAAACAATAATTTACACCTCCAATCTTTACCGACCAGGAGGCAGGGGGGTAGGGGTTGCATACCTCCACACCTTCCATGCAACCTATCACACAGCAAAAACCTTCCGGAGCCCTATTGGTCCTCAAGCTCCACACTGTGCCTTGTTATCCAATGGCAAAATCAGACAAATAACAGTAATAATCCACCAGCCGCCTCTCTGGACCAATTAGAAACTTTTAAGGGACTTACCAAAGAGTGAGAGGATACCACACGCTGTCCAGACAGTCAAGGACATGCCCACGCTGCCTGTGTTCTTCAGGATGCCTTTGGGAGAGATGAAGATGCCAGCTCCAATGATAGTACCAATTATGATGGATATCCCCCTCAAAAGTGTCACTTTCTTCTTCAGCACAACTTTTCCCTCCTGGGCTGGCTGTCCGCTGTCCATTGAGGGCAACCTGCCATTAGCTTGCCCCTGCAAGTAGCTTCCATTAGAAGTGGTGGTTACAGCAGCTTTCCTAAACATGCTACAGTGCCACCACCACACTGACGACAAGCAGAGGCAAAAAAGTTTCCAGCAGAAACTCAAGGATTTTTTCTTCTCTGCGTAGCCAGCTACTTAGTCTCTTCCTCTGCCCTCCCTTATCTTTCCAGCTGCTCCTACACACAGGTAGTGAGCTCCTGAACTGTATTTGAGCCTTTACTGGGATCTGAGCGCTGCTCAGGAACACCTGCGCTTTCACACTGCAAGCTGGTACTGCCCTATCATTGGAAACCAGCTCAGCTTCCGCGTGGACTTGTATTTAAGCTCTTGTCATACCAAGTTACTCCAGCTGAATGATGATGCAAATTCTCCAGGTTTGCATCAGCCATTTGAGAAACCTCTGGCATTACTCAGCATTTCTTTTTTTTTTTCCTTTTCTTTTTAAACAGTAGGGGCATGTTGCACAACTGACCTCAGGGTGCTGGGAAGAACAAAGCGCTCGCAAGCAAACCGAGCCAATCAAACTAAGCACATCACCCTCGACACCCTGAGACACACTCCCAATTTTGTGTTTTGTTTTTTTTTTTAAAGCAACTCAGAGCCAGAAACAAAAGCCTGCCTAAACACAAAGCTCGTCAGCGCAAGAGGAAAAGAAATCAAACAGGTTACGTCATCCCTGGGTCTGATCCAATTTCTTTCTTGAAAATCTCCTCTTAACTCAAGTTAAGTTTGCAGGTCTTAACTTCTTGTTGTGTTGGAGTTGATCAGCCTCTCTCACATCTATGTTACTTACCTGGAAATCTCTATAGGGACCTGTACCTACCTAAAAAATATATACAACCCCCTTGTTACCCCGAGTTGCCTAGCAACACACCCACACCAGCCTAATGAAAACCCGGGGCTATTTCCACAGTACAGTAATTTTCATACACGCAGTGTGTTTCTGGGATGTCAGTGAGCAACACTGCAATGACACTTCCCCTTGAGAAATACTATTAATGTTTACAGCCACCTCGTGTGTGTGACCTGGCAGGAGGAGGAGAAAACCCCAGAGCCTGGGATCTCCTCCAGCTCAGGAAGCAGAAAGGGGGTTTTGTGTTATCGTAGAGCTTCCCTGACCAGATAAACAGGTAATCAGATGCATAAAAGCTTTTGTTTCACAATGTGATCAAATTCAAACCTGAGAAATTAAACTGTTAAGAAGAGGAGAATTCTCATAAAACAGAACAAAAATCAATAGCCTTCAAGCACTTGTAACCTAATCGAGGCACAGCCTGTGCAATATATGCCAAAGGGGAAAATATCCTTTGTAGCATAACTATTGCAGCTGCTCCTGTCTTCAGATTAGATCAGTGCAAAGAGAAATGATTACTGCAGTTACTGCTCTTACAGTTGCTGCTTAATTAGGAACTAGGATGGGGGGGACGGGACGGGGGGAAGATAGCAGTTAAAACATTTTATCATTCAAAAAGCAGGCGCTGAGCTCAGGGAACTACTGTGTTTTCAAATCGATTTGAGAACAGGAAATCTTGGAGTATCAACAGACTGCAGCTGTAAAACTTCATTGTCTTTAAAGCCTCATCTTTTCAGTTATAACTCACCTGTAAGAATTTGTACCGAGATAAAAGAAGGCATTAAAAAAAAAAGCTCATCTGGTTTAAGTGCACGCAGGTAAAAACATCAGCGATTGTAGCTTTTGACTAAATACTGGCAGCACTTGCCTATTTTCTGAACACATCCTATTTCTCCCTGCAGCTGCTGATGGGTGTAGCAGTTGACCCCTCATGTCTCTGTACAGCTCACACCCCTGTTGTCACTGCACTGTGTGCCCAACCCGTAGGGGAAGGGACTGTCTCTCCAGCCTATGCCATAGGTGACTGCACAGACCAGCTGTGGGCAGGACCTCCCCTGGTCACCCCACAGTCCAAACCAAGACGATTTCACAGCACCAGTTAGATGCAAAGTCATGAGTAGGTGGTGTGCTATGCAGAACTGTTTTCCCCTCTTATCTACATTTCATAGGCTACCTCCAGAAAGAGGTAATGCCTGAAGTAAGTAGCTAGATCAAATCAAACCAGAAAAAAGCATTAACCACAGAACTGTTGGGCTGATGACCTTCATTTTAATTTTCAAAGGCTGTTTAATGAAGAAACACATGACAACTTAAAGCATCTAATAATTTAAGATAATCATTCTCAGCTAATGCTCACCCTTTATTCACACAGGAAGATGGTTCCAAGATCAAACCAAAAGCTCAGTATCCTCCTAGACAATCCTGAGGCATCTCCCAGCAATTCAGCTGTCTGGATCAGCTATTCAGTAAAAACACTGGACAATATAATGGCTTTCAAATTTCATTTGACCACTAGCCAGAAGAATGCATGTTTGCCTGTTGGACATAGCTATTAATGCTTTCCCATACAGGGAAAAGGATGTTTGCTTCTTCTGTGGTATAGGGGTAACACGCATGCAAGTCTTAGCATCATGTGAAATTCCCAGTGAAATTTCTAAGGTGGGAACTAAGAAAAGCTGGATACAGAAAACAAGGTCCCTTCCAACCCAAACCAGTCTGTGATTCTGTGATTCTATTTTCCTAAATACTGGCAAGCTTGCTAGTGATCACACTATTTGTAGCCTTCCCAGTGAGTACTGTTGCATACACTTCTTCTCAATGGTATCCACTAAAAATAAATAAAAAAATAGGACCACTTTTTCTCCTTTGAGTTCAAGGCTTACTTCAAATTATCAGTTCCACCCAAGACAGGGAATACTTATTTAGTGTTGGGGAATTATTTGTTATCTTCTGGAAATTTCATGAGCATTTTCCATCACCTGAGCCCAGTCCCGAGGAGGGCACATTGATGGAAAAGACCCATTACTGTCTGCTGCCCCCCGTTATACAGTATACTCACAAAATCTGTTCCAATTATTTGTAGCCCACTAGCCACTGTCATATGAATTATTCATCACAGAGCAAGGACTGTGATATCACTGTGCAACTGCAACACATGACGCTCAGTGTCTTTTCAGAGAGCTCTTCCAAAAGTGCAGGGTTTAACCTGTCCAACACTCAGAACAGTCCTGTCCTTCCATTAAAACCCACTCTCAAAACAGAACAAAAAGGTATGAGGTGCAATTTTCTTTAGACCAACGAAATTATTTGAAGCAATGTTTCTAAAAACGATGCTCTGAAAACAAACCTTTAACCTCCAATGGCAGCTGGCATTGTGCACAGCCTTTTATTGTTTCTCTCTTTCCCGCCCCCCACCTCCCTAATTCATAGACATTTTCTCCTGAACAAACATTTTAAAGCATAACCGAGATCATCGCTGTGAAATGGTTCCCTTCTGAATCCCACCATCAACCCTGAAGTACCTACCCACTGTCTGTTTCAAACAGAAATCCTCACCAGCTGAGCCCTCAAGTCCTCCTATGCCTACACCCTGCAAAGAGTTAAGCCGCTAGCAGAAGGTGTCAGCTCCCCGTGCTGGCTGCCTGCTGCCATCAGTGAGCTCTGGTGACCAGGACCAGCTGTGCTGCTGGGACCTTTCACAGTGTATAGAACATAACCTTTCTGTCAGCTGCACCGCACTACTCCAGCAAATGAAATCCTCAAGCATCATAATGATACTTCTGCATTTCATGGGTTGAACATGCCTGATATGGAGGCACTCCTGGTTTTCACACTAGTAGAGCTTATGCCAAATACCTGGACATAGCTGAATCTCCAGTTCCAAAGAAGCTACATTTTTTATATTTCCCCTGGGGAATATTACAAAACACACACACACAGCATTCCCCTTTATAGGAACACTACAACACACACAGAGTAAAGTGAAGGACCTAAAATTCAAGCCTGGACTTGAGTTTACCCTTCTCAAGCCCACAAAAACTCCATAATTTCTAGATGTAGCGAGCATACCTTGACAATCCTTCTGGGCATTTGTATATCAGCTTGTTGCATCAAGCAAATCCAACGAGTCACAAGTAATGTCTCCATGCCACACATTGGCACACTGACTGGAGACACAGGAATAAAAAAGGAAGTATATCAAGACTGAAGAGGCGAGGAAAGCCCCAACCTCTTCTGTGTGGGCAGCATGGCATGAACAAGTTGTTTAGAAAACCAAGCCAAGTTTTCTCCGTAAAATGCCAGGCTGTTTGTGAGCCTCAGAAAGCAGCCTGCTACCAGAAAGGCAGTAGTCTGCTTTCAAATGTCAAAGGAGAGCAAAACACCAACAATTATTTGTTTCATGTAGCTAATCTAGCACAGAAAAGTTTTGAGTGGGGGTTTTCTATTCCTTTTGTAGTGTTGAGAAGTAGTTTAACCAGTATTGGGGGGAAAAAAAATAACTTGTAAGTAGTTTAAGAACTAAGGTGTCATTAGGAATTAAGTGAGAATAATATCATCATGAAATATACAAAAATCTCAGTAGACTGGGACAGTTTTTAAGTTGTAATGCAAACCTAAAACTGTGAGAAGACTAAACCAATTTGTTATTGTCTCTTCTACAGGTCAAAGAATTCGTTAAAAATGGAATTACTGAGAATGTTGGGGGGAGTGTTATTTTATAGTCAGAGACTCACAAATCACTCGCTTGATTATTTTGCATTCTACTTTGTACCAAATACAAAGAAGATATTTAGAAGAAAAACAAAAAATGAGAAGGAATGAAATACACATCCAGCTCAGAGGCTTCAAAAATAAGACAAAGTCCTATAAGAAATCCAAAAGCAATTCAAATGTTATTTCTTGTATTTTCAGCAAAAAGATTCCAACAAAATGCCTGTGCAGTCAGCAAACAGAAATCTGGTTCCAAGAAGACTGCAGACTACGATAGGAGTTTAGAAGGCAAAGATTTCTGAAAGTTTCCTTGTCTTCAATTTGCTGATAGCTGCCAGTCAATTTTCAGCTAGAAAAGAAAAAAAAAAAGGGGGGATTTCAGAAATCATTCCTATTTTTTTCACTATTAAAGGTTTATTTCAAAAGGCTTGAATGGTTTGTCTTTTTAATGGGTTTTTTGGGGGGGGGGTTTAGCAGACAAGAACCATTAGCACCTGGTACCAAGCAAGAAAGCTCCGTATGCACTAGATTCTTACTGAAGCCCTGTGTATATGAAAGTGTGTTTGCGTTTTATACCATCTAATTTTTCATATTCAGGACATATGCAATTATAACCTAAGCAATGCTGTACATAAATATTATTCTTGAATTTTCTGTGTTTGCATTTCTCATCAGCAGAACGAGACAACAATTTTCAGAGTCACTATGTTATTGTTCCTCAGCTTTTGGAAACAAATACTGAAATATCCCACAGCTTTCAAGAAATCAAGACCTCATAGTAAATTCCCATCAAAACTGCATGTGCCAGATGCCTGGCATAATGGCAAGAGTGCTGTTGGCTGAAGGGACTCAGAATTTTACTTGAGCTATCTCAGGCTAGGCTAGGCATGCAAACAGAATTAATCAGCACTTCTTAAAAAAATTAGGATTTCTAAAAAAATCAAGACGGAGATAGAATCAGTACTAAGAACATTTTTTTTTTCCTAGCTAATTTCACCATTTTCCTGTTAAAAATTCTTCACACTAGATTAAAAAGCTTATAATGTGAAGAAATTGTTCAACAGCTGTCTAAATTATCGAATTTAGGTTTGGTTATTTACTTACTGCCTATTTGCTTTTATTGTATTTTTCATACAATTTTACAGTATCATGTATACAAGAAACAGGATCCTGGGGCATTTGCCTTACTCCTCTATTTGGCCAGGTACCGTAATTCATGTTTTTCCACTCTGAATCAAATCTTTCTTTTCTTTCTTTTCTTTTCTTTT